GAGGGAGGATGGGACGGGTATTTGTATACACAAGGAGTGCAATGCGCACTACCCAAAGGATGGACATATTTGAAACATGGACTTGGCGGGGGGAACCAAGGGCAACACATGTAACCTAAACATCTGTACCCCCATAATATGCTGAAATAAATAAAAAAAAAAAGAAATGTCATCCTCAAATAAATGAAAAGAAAAAAAAAAACCCAAAACAAAACCCAAGCAAGCAAAACCCTTACTTTTCAGTGTATTTCTGGGTTCATAGACAATAAGGGAAATCTCCAAACACTCCTCCAGAATGGCTCCATGTCAAGTTTCTGAGGCTGAGTTGATATACTCTAGTAAAGAAAGCATGTCTGACACAGTAGCTGCAGTGGCAGCCACTGGCTAGGTAAGTTACCTGCTAGGTAGTTACCCACTATGTAAGTCCACCATCACCCATCATGATCTATTTTGTTTATGCAATGGTTTCAAGGCCGAATTGGATGAGGTTATGTTAAGACCACACTCTCTATTGCTTTTAAGTCTTTCATAGTGTCACTAGTCTGTGCAATCACAACCAGGATGCGATGTTGGTTTTTTGCTGCTTCTCGTTTACTATCGTGTTCAGAAAGTTTAGGAGGAGCAGTTTCAGGGTTCCTTCCTACAATAAAGATCTTATTGCACAAATCAGGGAACCAATGGGAGAATTTGGCCAAGGAAACAACCACAGGATGGTCTGTGGACCCATTGGACCCACTATGAGATGACCTTGAGTCAGAACCCTATTTGTCACTTACCTTATAAGCCTGCTTTCTAAGCTGGAAGATCATAAGCCATTTTGGGACCTCGGATACCACTGTCAGTTCAGATCTGGTACCAAATGTCCTTGTAAAATCTGAGTACTCCTCTCTCTCCAGTGCAGTTATCCTGGTAGATGGCCATAGGTCCCTTTGTGGGGATAATTTAACATATGCACAAACACATATAACCCTCAGTATGTAGTGGCACACAGTTACTAAGATGTGTGTGTGTGTGTGTGTGTGTGTGTGTGTGTGTGT